CCCCAAAACCCCAAAACCCCAAAACCCCAAAACCCCAAAACCCCGAAATAGTATAAGAGAATTGTACATAAAGATATAATAATTAAGGTTTTAGAGCATATAAAATGGAAACCCATTCAAACTCTTTGTTTAGAGAAGGCCATATGGTTGTCCAGTACATACTGACTCAGTTCCTTGACTTTAAAAGTATGATTACCTTCTAACTTTAGCTTTGGCAAAATTCAAATGCTGTTGCAGGTTCACTAAAGAATGCATTGAAGAGTACGAGAAGACTTGGGAAGGAAGGTTCAAGGCTCTAGAAGGCAAATACAGGATCGACCTGAGTGAGTGAGAGAAAGCAATTGCTGACAAGAAGCCCGAAGACAAGTTCAGAATTCTCCCTGAAAATGAAAGAATGTTGTATCAAACCAACCAAATGTACAGACACAAAGACTTCAGACATGTTTTTAGAATGTTTTGTGGAGACAATCAGGTTGCTACTATGGCAGAGAAAAGAGATGGATGGGCACATACAGATAATCCTAGGTAAGAATTAGGTCAGAATACTTATTATTAAATTTTTAATTCTGATTTGATTCTTAACATTTTCATCAACCAATTTTCTTAAATGTTCCATCTAATTCTTTATTTAGCTATTTCTCCGTTGCTACAAGGCATGATTCGATCTTTACTGAGAAAATGCCAGAGCTGATTGATGTCTGATGGTATGATCCTAGCTGCACTATAAATGATGTTCTTCCAGAAAAATACTATACCATTTATGTCAGACATCTAGTGAAGCAACATAATAGCATTAAGCGAACACTCAAGATCTTTGTGGATGGAAAGGCATTTTACCCTGCAGAAGATGGCAAAGGTAGGTGAAATTTTTGAATTAATGCCAACTAATCATTATTTAGAAGACATCAAGAAAACTTTTAGTATCCATGAAGAAGCTAATTTTCCAAGCATGATAAAGTAAGTGAAGCCTCACTATTTCATAGCCTTGATTCAGGTGAAGAGTATCCTTATGACAAGTTCTTTAACCAAAAAATTTGTGAAATAGACCTCACTGAGTATCAAGACGCTAAGAGAATTGACATCTCGTTTGGATGGAGACACAATACCGATTATTGGAAAGGTGGCTACATCATCGATGGAGTTCTACTGATGCCTAACGAAGTTACACCTACTGAAGAAAGTATGCCAACTATTGAGAAATTTTTATCAGAATAACTTCATCTAACTTTCAACGGCTTTGGAGAACTTAGGGGTTTTGGGGTTTTGGGGTTTTGGGGTTTTGGGG